CAGAGAAGGCTCTCCCCCTGGGGGTCGCCAGCCGACACTGTCTGGCTGACGGCACCCTGAGGAGGCCCTCTCTGTGGGAGCGTATCGGCCGGTGGGAGGCAATCTGTGGCAGAAGGCGGTCTCGGAGGTAACCAGGTCCAATGCCATGGTGCGCTTTGAAGATGATAATCAACACCTTGAAGCGCACCCGGAAGGCCACCCGGAAGCTACTTGTCTGCCTCGGCTTATGTCACTCCAAGGAAGCCCTTTTGGTAAGTCTGCCCTCCCATTTGCCTCGCCTGCCTAGTGGGCCTTGTTTGCGAAGAGAGGCAACCATTTTGGGAACCTAGAAGGCCTGCCCTCAACCAGTCTACCTCCTGCTTCGCTTGGAAGCTGGGTGAAGGGAGGACGACTCCAGGTGTCTCTGCCTGTTTCGCTCTGTGATAGGATTTTCTGTCCATAGAGCAAAGGCAGAGTGGAAAGTGATAATTTATTGCTTGAAGAGGCGGTTGAAACTTTATATATGAACTCCATACTTGATTGAACTCAATATGTGATTGGAATATAGCACTGATCCATTATTCCTGGCCTGGTGGTAGACATCAGTGGTCAGCAAGTACGTAGCATCTATGAATATTAGTGTCCATAAATGCCTTCCTTTTGTATTCCCCACGAACCCCAGATTGTTAGAAGGTAAAATTGGTGGGAAACCCTCTTTCTTTCGAAGTATTTCTAACAATCTGGAAAAAAGATAAAGGTGAATTGAGATATGGTAAAGAGCATTTTTGGTACTGGGGTGGTGGTGGCAGTGAGCAGTTTTACTGGTTGACTTTGCGATAACCATTCATCTGTTAATGATCTTTCCAACATGGCAGCCTTTTTGTGAAGGCAGCTATGTCTTATTCTCCAAATTCTATCTGTTCTTGCCTATCTCAAAAGGCGGCCTTTCTCTGGTGCAGGAAAGAATATAAGGAACTTATAAGGAACTGCTGATCAATCAGCTAGTAAGCAACCACAAAAATAGCCACTGATTTTCTTTAGGTGTAGAGTACTTTGAATCTGGCTTTGAAACTTAACATGTTGTTTTGTCAGTTCTGTGTAGCCTGCAAAATGCATAAAGTTTTGAATCAGTTCATGACACCTTCTAGACAGAAGTGATTTTCTCTTGTATGCGACAGTAGAAGCTTGTTTTAAAATAAATAAAAATTGTCATTGAGCATAAGGAAAAATAACCTGGCCTGAGGCCCATTTCCAAAACACATTCCTTGGAAACCTCAGGTAAATTTAGAGCGATCTGAACAATGTGATGCCTCGTTGAGTGAATTTGCTATATATTCCAGGAGGAACTGAGAAAGAGGTCGGTTGGAGCTACTCAGTGTGGGGCAGGATAATAATTTATTTTCCTCAGTGGAAATTACAAAACTCACTTGGTAGGTATATACGCTACATGGGGAACTGTGATAATGAACTCACTTTAAAGACCACTTTAAAGGCCCCTCTCCCTGTTTGCCCTGGAACCTGGATCCGCATCCCAGTTCTTTGACCAGCCAGAGCCAAAAACAAAGGCAAAGTGTTTCGGAATGACAGACTTTCAGTGGGAATCAGATTTCATGTTCAGTTGCACAATGTACAAGTTGGGTGGGTGGAGCTCTCTGGAAAAGCACACCTAGTGAGTGAAGACAGTGTGGTCTGGCCAGCATCCGCATGTTTCCTCTTGGGAAGGTGTGAAGAATCTGTAGCTACAAGCTGAAGTACATCCTTCCATGTAACAAATAGGTCTCTGCTGCAAAGCTAATGAATTTTGAGGGAGGATAAAGATAGTTTTGAAACCTTGCCAAGGATCAGGTGCCAGTAGTGTTTATCGCAAAGTGTTCAGAGTCACTGCAAGAATTTAATTTTTGTTTCCATTCTGGGGTTCTTTGGAATTTTCTTGCTCAGTGATATCTTAAGAGTTTTCCAGCCTCTTTCCTTGCTGCTCAGGTGTAACTGCCGCTGCTCCAGAGGGGCTTTTAATATAGCACAGACTCCAAGCTACTTTCATCGTGGTCCATCTTCCAAAAGATGCTTTTCGGTTCCCAGCAGATGGAAAGAAGCCTTGGCTGTTTCTGTGACGCCTCACTTTGGTTGGAAGAAGTCAACTCTAGCTTGAGTTTTCTTTTTGGATTCTCCTTCATTGTCTCTTTCCCAGGCTGAAGAGATGGAAATAGCTGCAGGCTTTCTCTATTAAAATCAAGCAACATTACTAATTAAATCAGATTAGTACATAGGATCTCTCTCTCTCTCTCTCTCTCTCTCTCTCTCTCTCTCTCTCTCTCTCTCTCTCTCTCTATCTATCTATCTATCTATCACTCCATCCATCATATTTAGAAACTGCCCATCTCTCTCATAGAGGAATCGTGGGTTTTATAGGGGGGGATTGTATATATGCTTTGGTTTTAAATATGTTGTGCGCCGCCCTGAGTCCCGCAGGGAGAAGGGCGGCATATAAATTAAATTAAATAAAATAAAATTAAATAAATAAAATAAAATGTTAAAAATATAAAATCTGAATGTGAAAATATTAAAATAGGGCAAGAGTAGTTAAAAATGTGAGTTTAAAAGTTAATTAAAAGACAGGGCTGGGCTTTCAGGGTGCTAACCAGCCCACCACTTTGTGCTCTTAATCTTCAGAGTAGCCAGTCACAGGTGGTTAGAGGTGAGGGAGCCTCACTGTGGCCATAGCCTCATCTCTAGGATCCTCTTTGTAGCTGTCTCTGAGCACTTGAAGGGCTGGAGAAAATGGACAGTCCCAAGGCTGGAGCCCTTAAATTTACCAAATGTAGCTGAAATAGTCCACTCCATCCTCATAAATTACTAGCCTATTTCTCTTTGGAGGAGCAGACTGTACTGCCATAGTTTTGGAACAATAATCTAATGAGGTCATAGTTTTGATCTGAAAGAACCTGAAAAGATAGAAGAATCATAAAAGTTGGAAAGAAATATATAATGTCTTCCCTTTTCTACAGATTATAACTCTGTCCTTTTGCAGTTCATCTTCTGTTGAGGTTTCTCAGAAATAAAGCAAGATACCTTCAAAAATAGATTCTAGCTCAGTGGTGGCGAACCTATGGCAACGTGCCAGAGGCAGCACTCGGAGCCCTCTCTGTGGGCACACACGCCGTTGCCCCAGCCCTGCCTCCTTCCATGGCCCCCTCCTCACCAGCAGCCCCCCCAGAGGAGAGTCGCCACTGGCCGCGGCCCACAAGAAGCAGTGCAGCCAAGGACATGGTAGTCAAGCAGCGGGGACAAGACTCTGCCTTTGCGTCCCGTCACGCGCAGATGCTGCTGCGAGGCACAGGCGGAGGGCGTGGCCACCATGGTGCTGCTGGGCCGCTTGTCTGATGTGTGGCGGGCCATGTAGGTGGTGAGTGGCCCAGCGGGCAAGGCGGAGCAAGGACGGGTGGGGGGCAGGTTTTGGGCACTCGGTCTCTAAAAGGTTCGCCATCACTGTTCTAGCTTGACTGTCGCATTTGAGCTGCTATTGTGCAGAGTCCCAGTTGTGATGGACGGAAGCAGTGATGCTGAGAGCATTCTCTCTCCAATATCGCACAATAGTGAACTTCCATTAAGAGGTGAAAAGCGCACAAAGTGGCCTTGCTGCTCCATGATGGGCTACATGTGATGATGGGTTTTGAGGTTCTTTAGAAGAGCTCCAGGTTAGAGTTACTTCTAACTTGACTCAAGGATGCAGTTCAGAAGCAGCCAGGTGTCATGAACTCTTAGCAATTCTCTAGTCCAGAGGTCCCCAACCTTTTGGGCACCAGGGACCGGTTCCGTGGAGAAAAGTTTTCCCGTGGACCGGAGAGTGTGTGGTTTTGTGTGCTGCCTGCATCCCACGGATGGGCCTTTGCTTGTTTGTGCGGACCGGTTGCTGGCATGGCACGGCCCGGTACTGGTCCACGGACCGGGGGTTGGGGACCCCTGCTCTAGTCATTTCAGGACAGCTGGACCAGCTTGACCATTTTGTCATCACAGATAATAGCTCCCTGGGTCCCAGGGGTATTGGCCTCTTGTCACTAAATCCTAGAAGGTCCAACAGCTTAATGACCACCGTTAAGGATTTTTTTCCTATGCGTTGAATCAAAAGACAGGTTATGGTGACAGTTTGGGAAGCCACTGTTTGCTGGTCAGCTCTTCTTCAGTGCTTCTGGCCTGCCAGACCCGCACTGCTGTGTGGCTCTTTATCGGCTGCTGGCATGGCTGCTGTTGGCCCTTCCCTCTCCATTATTTTCTCTCTGATTTCTCCATGTTTGCTGATTAAGTGGTGCCCGTTGGGTAGCCAGCAAATAAAACGTCCGGCTCTCTTTCTTTTTCCCTGCCAGCTGCTCCGAATGCCAGGACCTCCTCACCAACTGGTACTACGAGAAGGATGCCAAGCTGTACTGCCCCAAGGACTACTGGCGGAAGTTTGGGGAGTCTTGCCACGGCTGCTCGCTGCTGATGACGGGGCCCGTCATGGTAAGTCTCGTCCCGTGCTCTCCCTGGCCGTAGCCAGCTGGCATCCCGGGCCTCCCTTTGGCAGAGGCGACTTGCCTGTCTTAGCCACCAGAGATGGGATCGGTGGGCTTCTCCCCCTGAAGGGCCATACAAGCACATATCTCCGAGCAAGCAGGGCGCTGCCCTTCAGGGTAGAGCAGTGTGGTTAAAACAGGAGAGGCATCCTCTCAGCGTGTCTGTTGAGGTTCTCAGTCATCCAGTTGACAGTTGCCTCAAAGGTGCTTTTCCAAAAAGCAAGTGGACTCTTGTTTCCGTGTGTGTGTATTGTATTTCTTTGCAGTCATCTGGTTGTTAGCACTCTCTCTCTCTCTTTGAGAGCCGTTGAGACCACTTGTGCCCCCAGGGTCACCTAAATCAGTGTTTCTCAACCTTGACAATTTTAAGGCATGTGGACTTCAACTCCCAGAATTCCACAGCCAGCATCGCTGGCTGTGGAATTCTAGGAGTTGAAGTCCACATGCCTTAAAAATTGTCAAGGTTGAGAAACACTGACCTAAATCACTAACCCTCACCCTCTCAACACTGAATGTTAAAACCCCAAATTGCTTCATTTTATGAGTTACAGCTCCAGATGTCATGGCCCTTTCAAGGATTGGGTGAAGGCACCCTTGGGGGTCAAGGAGGGACACATTAATTGCATCCCTTAAGCTAGTGTTTCTCAACCCTGGCAACGTTAAGCTGTGTGGACTTCACCTCCCAGAATTCCTCAGCCTTAACCCCACCCGTTAAAAGCCAGAAGGGTCCCTGGGCTGGAAGAATGGCTTTTTAGTGTCCTGGAAGCAGGTTTCTTATTTGGGGGTAGAAGACCCTTCTGGGGGGGGGGAGAAACATGATGTCAGGGAGCATGGCAAAGCCAGGTCGCCTGCATGGTGGGGGGCATGTTTTCTTATGTTTTCCTAGGCTTGGGAAAACTTTTATTTTTAAATAACGCTAATCTCATCCGAGGGCTTTAGCTGTTGTTTTCAAGCGTCTCCAGTCCCAAAAGTGGTGAGAAACAGCCCATTTCAGACCTAGGGACCCCGGGGGCCTGTATTCATGGAGGAGACTGGCTGAGGGCTGAAACCTGGTGGTGGCTGGGGGGGAGCCAGAGTTTGCTTCCATGCTGGCCTTGTGGCTTGAGACCATTGTCTTATGCTTGAGGGCAGGCTGCAATAGGGAGGAAGCCCTCCTCGCTCTACATACAGCCGGTAGATGCTTTAGCTGGGTAGGCAAATCTCCTGGTTTTATTGTTTCTTTCTTCAAAGTAACTGGAAGACATGCAACAATTTTAGGCAGTTGAGAGATGGGGGGGGAGGCAGCTCCAAGTTCTCCCCCCCCCCCCCGGGTTTTCTAGCTTTGCTTTGGTCCTGGGATAGTGGGCACCTCCTGGAGACACAGCATGGCAAGCAAGAAATGCTGCCAAGGACAGGGCTGTCGGTAGGGCAGCTCGGTTCCCCTCCCAGATCCCAGCTCTTTAGTGAGCAAGAAGTCTGATTAAAACCTAGCAGAGCCTCGCAAGGTGGTTTCCCCCAGAGGGTTCCTGAGATTTTCCTTCCCGGAATCGCCCACCCTGCCTTGGTTCTTGTGCTGGCTTGCCAGTCCTGCCTCTGTTTCCCAAGCAGCGGCAGACGCCCTGTGGCTTAGCGCCTCATTTCCTGCTGTCAGCCTTAGCCCAGCCTCTCCTTGCCAGCTGCCTCCCAGCCCCACCACGTGGAAGCGGAGGGTACCCAGGGGTCGCCAGCTGGCTCCTAGCTCTCTTCTCCCCTGGAACCGTCTCCCCCGTCGTTGTGTGCAAGAGCGCGGAAGGAGTCACTGATCCTGACACGTCTCTGCAGCCGGGATTTCAGACTGGGACAGAATTCTGGCTCGACAGCACTGCCGAGTCTGTATTCAGGGAAAGGGCAAAAACATGGCTGGGATTCCATCCTAGGGTGGTCTTTCTAGAGCAGTGTTTCTCAACCTTGACCATTTTAAGGCATGTGGACTTCAACTCCCAGAATTCCACAGCCAGCATTGCTGGCTATGGAATTCTGGGAGTTGAAGTCCACATGCCTTAAAATGGTCAAGGTTGAGAAACACTGCTCTAGAGCATCCTCATTCTTCTTCTTTACCGTCCTGCATGTCTCTCTCCTTGGCAGGTGGCTGGAGAGTACAAGTATCACCCGGAGTGCTTCGCCTGCATGCGATGCAAAGTGATCATTGAAGATGGCGACACCTACGCTCTGGTGCAGCACTCGGCTCTTTATTGGTAAGGGGCAGCGGGAAGGCTCAGCCATGGGCTTGGATGGCTCTCTGGGACAGGGAAGGCTTTCTGCTCTGCACTTAGCCCTCCTCTGTCCTGAGAGTGGCAGGAAATGTTTCTCTTTCCCCCCCACTCCACTTCCCAGAGAGGGGAGGGAACTGAAGAGTGCATTCTGGTCCCCAACCACTCTGGTTGGGCATCAGGGTCTTCATGGCACCAGGTAAGGAAAGGCTGCATGAGATGGTTCCGCTTTTCCGCTCTTCAGACCATCTTTCATATCCATGTGTGAGGGTGGAACAGGCCCTGCCAAGGCCTAGGATTTGGGAACAGGAATCAGGAGATCTGTGCTATTTGTAGGAGACAGTGGTGAATCCATTGGCCGGCTGCCTTCAAGTGGTCATGCAACCCAGATCTCTTGAGTGCCTACTAAAGGGGAAGGCTGGAAGGTGGATGTCTGTCCACATGTTGTCTTGGAATTTCTTTGAAACAAAGTGGAACGTGGACCATATGTTTCCTCATTGGTCAGCCAAGCTGCCCCTTGGATCTGTAGCCTTGGAATCTTGATGCTTTCCTTCTTCCTAGCCACCCTGGTCCTATGTGGGGAGGTAGCCCTGAGGGCAAGGGGGTGTTGGAATACCCAAAAGTGAACGTTGGAAGCAAAGCTGTCTGAATATAGGCCTTGTCTTTGCAGCCAGCAGCCCTGTAGGGAAGGTCAAGGGTTTAGATGAGCTGCTTCCTAGCGGACAGCCTGGGCATGGAAAGCATACACGGCCTTTTCTGTCCCCTGGTCTAAACCAACAGCAGAATTCTGTTCTCCTTTTTCAGTGGCAAATGTCATAACCAGTTCGTGCTGACGCCAATGCTAGAAAGACTGTCAACAGAGCCTCTGTGTGAACAGCTGCCGTATACTTTGACGCTTCTCTCCATGCCTGCCGCCACCGATGGCGAAAGGGGGTTTGCTGTGGCTGTGGAAGGGGACTGCTCACCCTATGCTGCTACTGTTGAAGTGAAGGAGTGAGTATGAAGCTCTTGTAGCTATGAAATGCAGGGTTTTTTTTCCNGCTAGAAAGACTGTCAACAGAGCCTCTGTGTGAACAGCTGCCGTATACTTTGACGCTTCTCTCCATGCCTGCCGCCACCGATGGCGAAAGGGGGTTTGCTGTGGCTGTGGAAGGGGACTGCTCACCCTATGCTGCTACTGTTGAAGTGAAGGAGTGAGTATGAAGCTCTTGTAGCTATGAAATGCAGGGTTTTTTTTCCTCTGATCTAGGTATCTCGAGATGCAAATTCATAGTTGTGTGGCTTTTTCATTCAAGCTTCTGGCATGGATATGGTTCCTGTCACCTTGAGCAATGATCTTCATTGAGAAAGCAGCCCCTCTCTCTCATGTCTCTCTCTCAGTGGCATTAATGCCATTGGCCAAAGTGTCTTTCTCTGTGCTTTGAAAATTGGAGGCATCGTGTTGAAATTGTTCTGTTCGCAAATTCTTCCAAAAGGAGCCCTCAAAAGGACTCAAATACGATGCATTTTTAACACCTTGCCATTATTAATTGAAAAGGCACCTGTCATCTGTCTCACATGTAACCTGCATCTGCATAATCTTTGCCTCATCCCAGTTTCAGTCTTGCATCACTCTGATACAGCAGACGTAATGCAGAAAGCATCTACCTTTTAGAAAAAAATCTTAGTTAGAAGAAGTGATGCCTGACTCCTCCTCACAAAAGACTTCAAAGTAAAACAGTTTCAGTGAAAGGTAACAAAGATGACCAAGGGATTGCGCAAAAAAAAAAAAAGTCCTACAAAGAACCAGGTGTGCTTAGTCTTGAGAAGACTAAATAGGGTTATACTAAAATACTTTTCAAGTATTTGAAAGGATGTCAGAAGAAAAGAGTCAGGACTTGTTCTTGTCATTCAAAAGTGAGGGACACCAAAGCATGGTCTTCACGTACAGAAAAGCAAATTCAGATTTTTTTTTATATATATATATAAAATTTTTTATTATTTTTAATTAAAAAACAAATACAAATGATGCATCTAAAAACACCAACAACAAGAAAAGACCTATAATTATTAAAAACATCAATTTATAATTTCCCCTTAAACCCATCCCCCCCCGACTTCCCAGAACTAATACAGGATTCAACACCTCATAAAGCAATCAGTTAGAAAAAAAAACTTTAACTCAAATTAAAAAAAAACAAAACCAAACATAATTATCCATCTTCCCCAGATCCAAACATCTAAAAATTAAACTCTACCATTTCTCTTATAATCATTCAAATATATTAATCCCAATAAATGCAAATTTTAAATTCTTTAAAATAATATAATTGCATACATATATAACATTAATCATATAATGTTTAATTTTTCTTATTTAAATCCTTTAAAATAATACAGTTATGTTTATATATATCCTTAATCATCTTAAATTCTAACAAGCATTTTACTAATTTCTTTAAAATATAATTGCATACATATATGACATTAATCATCTAATATCTTATTTTTCTTATTTAAATCCTTTAAAATACTACAATTATGTTTATATATCCTTAATCATCTTAAATTCTAACAAACATTTTACTAATCCAACAAATCAAAAACATAAACTTCAAAAACATTCCTTATTCCCAACTCTCCATCTTACATTTCTTCCCAATTTTCCATTCTTTTTCATATACAAAATCAGTCAAAATCAATAAGCCTTCAGCCTTTTACGCCCTAATCCCAATAAATGCAAATTTTAAATTCTCTAAAGTAATATAATTGCATACATATATGTCATTAATTTAAAATAGTACCATCATATTTATATATATCCTTAATCATCTTAAATTCCAACAAATATTTTACTCATCCAAAAATTTAAAAAACATAAGCTTCAAAAATACTCCTTTTTCCCAACTCTCCATCTTACATTTCTTCCCAGTTTTTCATTCTTTTTCACATCATTAATACTAAATCAATCAAAGTCAATAAGCCTTCAGCCTTTTACACCTTGTTCCTTTTATATTTTATAACGTGTCCAAAGTTTTTGCAAGTAGTAGGCCTGTATGCTTCTTCCAAAAACCCAAGCAGCAACATCTTCAGCTGGTTTTCTCCGATGCAGAACCCATAGATTAATTCCATATAAACGCTTTTTCCCCAAGATTTCACCCGGAAAATACACCAAAACCATAACCAAGTCTATTACCACTTCCTTTCCCAACTTCTCAAACTTATCAATTTCCAAATCTCCACGATTTTGCACATCATTCTGGAATATTTTCATAAGGGCTTTTTCAACCTCTGGAACTATGAGCCTCTGGAGGATAAATGCCACCATTTCTTCCAATTTCTTCATCCAAAGATCTTTAATTTCCACATTATATTGCTTAACTGCTTGCATCACAGCATCTTGAACATCGTTTATAATCAAAGATAAAGGCATTTTCAGTAAATCCCAGGCAACAGCCAAAAAAAAAACAAAAAAATTACTTTCTCACTTTTTTCCCCCCCCCCAGTTCCGGAGCCATTTTAAAACCATTCTTCAAATTTCTTTAAGTATCATCAAAAAGAGTAACAATATAAATGTCACCAATCAGTAAACATCATGAATTCATTGTGGTTAAAACTTTCCAGAACCGGAGAAGCAACAATGTATCTGTTGATAACCAGACGAGAGTAAAAGTAAAAAGCGAAAGTAATCCAGAGAAACGGCAGATCCGCAGCCATTTTCTCTCACTTTAAATCATCGCAAAGTAAAAAAAAGATGTTTATAATTTTCAGAGTCAAAGTCTCGAAATAGACCATTATATTGCCAAACTCCTGTATAGTTCTGTCTGCTTATAATTTTAAATTCAAATACCTTTAATCGCAGCAGTGGGAGCTGCATCTGGCTTCGCTCCTAATGAAAGGAGCGAAGGCATCTCGGGGCGCGGAGAACGTCCTGACTCCGGGCGAGCTAACATCTTCCACCCCGGATTAAGACAAAACCGGGGCGAAAGGAAGCTCTAACCCTATCTGGACATACTCACCCCTCCCTCTTTGCCCGAGGGACGAGGTTCCGAGCCGAGAGACAGCTGGAAAACGCTGTCTCTTCAGGTTTTGACGCGCTCCCGGACGGGCGGCTAAGAAAAGCCGCCATGCGATGCAGCCTGTCACCACCGGAAGTCGCAAATTCAGATTTTTAGGAAAAAAATTCCTAATGGCAAGAGCAGCCTGACTGCAAAATCAGTGATAGTGGATGCCCTGCTTGGGTTGAAGAGACAATTAACAATTAACAAATGTATGTAGGAAACACATGGGAGACTTTAACTACCCTGATATCAACTGGGAGACAAACTCTGCAGCAAGTGGGAGATAAAACAGATTCTTAACAAACTTAGCTGACAACTTTGTCATCCAAAAGGTAGAGGAAGGAACTAGGGGACATAGTATACTTAGACTTCAGCAAGGCATTCGACGAAGTAGATCACAACCTACTTCTTGGTAAACTAGAAAAATGTGGGAAAGACAGCATCACCACCAGATGGATTTGTAACTGGCTCACAAACCACACTCAACTAGTAGTCCTTAATGGTACTACATCTACATGGAGGGAAATAAGCAGTGGGGCACCACAAGGTTATGTCTTAGGCCCAGTACTCTTCAATATCTTCATAATTGACTTAGATGAGGGAATAGAAGGGGAACTCATCATATTTGCAGATGACACTAAGCTGGCTGGAATAGCCAACAGCCCAGAAGACAAACTCAGGATCCAAAAAGACCTTGACAGACTTGAACAATGGGCCCTATCCAACAACATGAAATTTAATGTGGAAAAAAGCAAGGCATGGAAAACCAAATGTACAAATACAGATTAGGCAAAATCTGGCTCAAAAGAGGACGATCACTTAAACATGAGCCAGCTGTGTACAGCAGCAGCCAAAATAACTAATACAATCCTTGGCTGTATAGAGGCATAGAATCAAAACCACATGAAGTATTAGTACCACTTTATAAATCCTTAGTGAGGCCACATCTGGGATACTGTATCCAGTTTTGGTCACCACATTACAAAAAAGATGTTGAGACTTTGGAACAAGTGCAAAGAAGAACAACTTAGATGACTAAGGCCTGGAGTCTAAAATATATGAAGAACAGTTGCAGGAAATGGGTATAACTAGTCTAGAGAAAAGAAGGACTGGGGGCAACGTAATAACAGTGTTCCAGTATTTGAGGGGCTGCCACAAAGAAGAGGGGGTCAACTTATTTTCCATAGCACTAGAAGGCAAGGTGAGAAGCATTGGGTGGAAACTAATCAAGGAGAGAAGCAAACTGGAATTAAGGAGAAATTTTCTGATAGAATAATCAACCTGTGGAACAGCTTGCCTTCAGACATTGTGGGTGCTCCACCACTGGAGGTTTTTAAGAAGAGACTGGACAGTCACTTGTCTGAAATGGTATAGGGGCTCCTGCTTGAGTTGGGGGTTGGACTAGAAGACCTCAAAGGTACCTTCCAGCTCTATTCTGATTGATTGATTGATTAATTAAGAATTCTGAAATTTTTGGTGAGGAATAAAATTGGATTTCTCTGCTAATCGAGGGGTTGGATTTGCTTCTCTCTGTGGTCACTTTCAACTCTGATTATTGCAAAAGAGGAAAAAAGAGAGAAGCATAAGGTGGAGCATATTATAGCAGCCTACATGTACACCAAGAAATCTTTTTCTATATCATCCAGAAGTGCAGAGGGCATGGTTAATTATGTAAATTATAAGAATTACAGTGCCTCTATTGGTTGGTCTCATTTATTTTTTGTGACAATTTTGGAATTTAGATGTTGCATCCTAGTTTTCTGACCAAAACATTTGCATACGATTTAATTTGGGTGCAGCCAACTTCCCAGAGAGATTGTTTACCTGTGTAACTGATTCTGTATAAATGCTTGTAGGATGGGATGAACTCAGCCTGCCCACAGTCAGATTCTCTGTTCCGCTTTGCATTCCTTCCACCTCCTTCATTGATCTTTTTTGGAGGTCAAGCGTGCTTCCTTCTCAGCTGGAAGTCCTTGCAGGACCTAACTGCTGGAAACTGGGACTATTGGAGAAATACGAGAAAAACCTAGAGAAAAACTCCTGTGACTTTTCAGTAGCGAGACACTCAACATTGAATTGAGTGCAGTGGGACATGAATGCAATAAATCAAATAAGTATGTTCCATAGCAAGGAGCTGTGGGACTTGGAGAAGCCACAGATGCTCCATCTTGCAGAAACGGAGGTGAAGATGGCAAGTGTAAAACAGGTGGCTTCCTGGGAGATACCCGCAGCTTTTTGGTATGTCTGTTTAGAGCAGACGTGTCAAACACAAGGCCTGGGGGGCCGGATGCGGCCCGCAAAGTGGTTTCATGTGGCCCACAAAGCCATCCTGGAAACAGTGAGGGAACAGCCCCTTCTGCCTTGGCCCTGGCCCAGGCCAGCCAGGAGCCAATGTACAATTTTGTGGTGGCCATCTATGCTGAAACACATTCACTCTTAGCTCCACAAGGCCGTCTGGAAATAGCGAGGAACCAGCCCCTGCCACGTCGCCCCCGTCCCCCTGGGTGCGTGCTGGGGAGGTGTCACCCTTTGTGAGGAATGAAGAAATGGACCATGCCTTGGCGCTTGCCCCGGTCCCACCCCCTTCTGCCAGAGACCCTCAGATCTGTCCCACTCCTGCCCAGGCCCCCTTGACGCGAGCGATGTAGAGCTGGCCATGCCCACCCAGTAGGCCACAGCCACCCAGTAGGCTGCACCCACCCTGGCCACACCCACCTGTCCCCCCAAGGGCAACCGCAATGCTGATGCGGCCCTCAATGAAATTAAGTTTGACACCCCTGATTTAGAAGGCCTGCAAAATTGTAGCCCTTCTGGAGCAAGCGGAAACAGGCATCTTGCATCCCTAGCTTGGCTTTGGCTTCCAGTTAGTGACCATTTGTTTAGTGACCATTTGAAGTCTCAATGGCCTTGAATGAATGGTAGTTATGCACTGCCCCACTGGTCCCATGATCAAAATTTGGGTGCTTGGTGGCTCACCCACATCTATCTGTCTAGCTACCAAACTAGCTATCGAACTATCCAGCTATCACATTTATTTGCTCCCCATCTCGCTGTGGGGCTACTCTGGATGGTTTACAACAATTTAAGACCACAGGATGCGCTTCACTTCCCCCTAACCCCATCTCTGCCCTTTTGACTGTCCTGAACTCTATTGCCACCTACCCCTGCCATCCCTTTCACTGTCATCTTCCTCCCAGCTGCTCCAGCTGAGGCAACTGCTGACCCTCCCAACAGCAATGGGAGGGAGGGAGGGAGGGAGGGAGGGAGGGAGAAGATAACAAAAGTTAGCTGGGGGTGGCAGGGGTAGATGGTGATGGAAGGTGGGGGTGTCCCAAAGGGCAAAGATAGGGAGAGAGCTAGGCGAGTAGTGGAGGGGCCTTGAAGCCCAGCCTGGGACCATAAATACAGAAGCAGGACTGCTCCTGACTACCATTCGTTCATCACTACTGTCAGTGAACAAAAGGTCATTAAGCGAGGACTACCTGTACTTGTCCCTAGGAGGAAATGTGGTCCCTCACAGAGACTCATGGAGGAGGCAAATTCTTCTGATCTCAAGCTATGTTTTTTTTCTTCATTCAGAGTCAACCGAACGCACATCAACCCTGACGTCCAAAATGCCATTCACCCTGGAGACAAAATCTTGGAGATCAACGGAAACCCAGTCCGCACACTACAAACCGAAGAGGTACATTCCGAACAGCCTTTCTTGTTTCCTGCTGTTTCATGAGTTGAGGAGGAACCAAAGGCCTCTTGGGTTGGGTTTCCCAGCCGTCTTTTCTCTGAAAAGTCAAGAGGAGCTGAGAGAGAAGAGAAGAGCAGGCTGGCTGAAGGGCCCTGGGCGGTTTGTCTGATGCTTCAGAAGACCTGGCTTCTTCTTTAAAGTGGTATTTTAAAACAAAAGTAGGGGGTTCGTATTCTTGTCTTCCTGAGTGCCAGTCGAAAAACTTGCATCTGTTATTTTGATTTTCATCGCAGGTTTATATGACATCAGTAAAGCAGCCCTGATCAGGAAAAGTGGCTTAAACAGCCAAGACATGCTTTTAATTGAACTCAGCCCAGCTGCTTCTTAAGAAAATGAGCAGGCAAAGACATGCCTCCTTCAGCCAACCCTCCCCATCCCAGGTTGATGGAGGAAGATTGTGGACACGTTCTTTTGGAAACTTTTCCCCAGCAGAGCCCAATTCCCTGACTTCTTTACTTCTCAGGTCAAAGAACTGATTCACAAGACAAACCAAACCCTTCAGCTGTTAATTGAGCATGACCCGGTCTCCCAGCGCTTGGACCGGTTGCGCCTGGACTCCCGGCTGTCCGGGGGCCATAAGAAGCCCTCCACCCCTTCTATTTCTGCCTTGGCGCTCAAGGAGAATCTGGAAGGGACCCTGCGGCGACGCTCCCTCAGGTAACGTACCTGGACTCCAGAATGGCCTGCTAACCTCCAGCTGGGAAGTGGAGCACCAGTAAGTGCTGCCCTCTGGGCCATAACATCAGTCCTTTGAGGTGGCCAAGCCAGGGAACTGACCGGGCCAGTTTGGCTGGAATGCTGCTTAATTGACCTGGGTTCTAGTAAGAGAATCTGGAAAGCCTGACTGGGTTTGCCCCTCTCTCCCTCCTGCAGCTCAGGATGGGCTCGCTCTGAGTTCCTTGCTGGTGTTCATTTCCCAGACTTCAGTCAGGTCGCTGAACATGTGGCTGGAACCGTCTCCACTGCGTAGGGTCTGCAAGGCCCTTCGCTGGCTCTCTGCAGGGCGGGCGCTTTCCCCGTCCACTTCTGCTCAGCCTGCTGTGGCTCCTCGCCTTTATTGTAAACTACCAGCCAGTGATACACAGGCAGCCTTCGACTTACCACCCCAATTGGGATCAGAATTTCCGTTGCTAAGCAAGACGATGAGTGAGTGAGTGAGTGGTGCCCAATTTTACAACCTTGCCATGGTTGTTAAGCGAATCACTGCAGTTGTTAAGTGAATCACATGGCTGTTGAGTGAACCATTGACTGCTTGTTGGAAGCTGGTTGGGAAGGTGGCAAATGGCCGTTGCGTGATGCCAGGGTGCTGCAGCCACTGTAAATACCTGCCCGTCGCCAGGCTCCCGAGGTTTGGTCACGTGACCTTGGGGATGCTGCCATAAGTCACTTTTTTCAGTGCCTTTGTAACTTCAAATGGTGGCTAAACAGGGTGGTAAGTTGAGGACTGCCTGTAGAAAGTGTGAGAAATAAGGGAAATAGGCTGGATACCATCCCCTGAACCACACATTTCCTGACACAGCAGCTTTGCCCTGGTTGTCTCTGTGGTAGCTGAGCTACAAGGAGTAAGATAGGAAGCTCAAATGTTGAAACCTTGGCCTGCTCTCCAACTCTGGAATACCTGCTTGTTGCTGCTGCCACCATCTGCTTCTGCCTGGTGTTTCTCCCTCTGATCCTGATAATAATAATGATAAAGTTGGAAGGAACCTTGGAGGTCATCTAGTCCAACCCCCTGCTGAGGCAGGAAACCCTATACCATTTTGGACAAATGGCTGTCCAGTTTCTTCTTAAAAACTTCCAGTGTTGGTGCATTCACCGCTTCTGGAGGCAGGTTGTTCCACTGGTTAATTGTTCTCACTGTCAGGAAGTTTCTCCTTAGTTCTAAGTTGCTTCTCTCCTTGATTAGTTTCCATCCATTGCTTCTTGTCCTGCCTTCAGACGCTTTGGAAATGTGTGAGATCAGCACAGGTATCCTGCAGCCTCGGCACCTTACTGGCAAATGGAAGAAAAACAGATGAGAACAATGGGATCAAACATCTCTAGCATTACCCTTTAGTCCAGGGGTCCCCAACCCCCGGTCTGTGGACCAGTACCGGTCCATGGCATGCACAAACAAGCAAAGCCCCATCTGCGGGATGCAGGCAGCACACACAACCACGCAGTCTCCAATCCACAGAAAAACCTTTCTCCACGGAACCGGTCCCTGGTGCCCTAAAGGTTGGGGGAGCCTCTGCTTTAGTCCTTCGAGGGTTTGACCAGGAAAATCGCCCCTCCTTACTTTGAGGATTAGATCAGTCACAAGGTATAATTAAAATCAACATTAGGAAAGGGAAAATATATAACAGTTACTTTATTTGTATATGGTCACCAGTAAAAACAATTGTTGGTAGAAGAAATAAAAAAATGTTGTTTGAATCCCAAACCTGACCTTTAAGGGATTTCTTATAAACTTGGAGAGGGTTATAATCAGTGGTGGGATTCAAATATGTGAGCAACTGGTTCTCTGTATGGATGCCGCTTCCAGAAGTCCATTCTGGGCCTGGGCAACAGAAAATTAGCTACCGGTTCTGCCGAAGTGGTGCGAACCGACTGAATCCCACTGCTCAGAAATCCCAAGAGTCATCAAACATACTTAGGACCTCATTTATAGTAAACTTCAAAGACAATCTTAATTAGCACATTGAAAATAAAGGATAATGGAGTACTAGCTAGACATTAACCCGTGTTTAATACAAATTTGGCAACTTCTAAATGTGTAAACTTCAACTCCCAGAATTCCCCAGCCAGCATCCGAACCACCGCCATGCAGCTCAAATTTCTTTGGGTAGAACAGACTGAAGGCCAGAGACCTGAGTTCGTAACAGGGGAAGCCAGAATTACCTGAATGCCCAGCAGGGAAAGTTGGAATATCGGAGTTAAGTGCGGGAATAAGACTAGGAAGCTTCCAATCCATCCTCAGTCTTGCAAGCTCTGTGGGGGACTCTGGGCCACTCAAAGTCTTTCAGCTCAACTTGCCCCACTGGGGTATTGTAAAAAACTTCAGAAGAGGGTTGCAGGAGATGAAATCCACAGCCATGTGGACTTCAACTCCAAGAATTCCTCAGCCAGCCAGGTTGAGTTGAAGTCCACAAGTCTCCAAGTTGCCAAGGTTGGACACCCTGGCTGGGTAGAGCAGTTGGCTGTGCACAAAGCATATAATTTGTGTATTATCTCATACAGGACATCCCACTAAACAGGTTAACAGAATACTATTGGTTGGTGGTCACCTACATCTCACAGCTCAAGCCATTCCAATCCATTAATACTGCACCAGAGCCATACCTGACAATAACCCTGTATCTTTATAGGTCCTAAGTGGCAGGGCCCTACTTGCACGCAGACCACCACCCAGCCTGAAGCAGATTCTCATGAGCAGCAAGAAACCACGGGACAGTGAGGCTAACAGGAGACCCTCCAATAAATCCAGCTCACTGGCTTGCCTCTGCATTTACACCACCAGCACCATCACAGCAATTCCACAAATAAGACTGGATGCACACAAGATCACGTGCTCTTCTAATGCCATCATTTGCTGGCAGTTCTCCTTTGGGTTCTGTGTAGGACGAATAGGCCAGCCACTTTGGAAACAGAAACTTGGTCAGCACGATGCACCACAAGACCAGTGGACTCACAAACATCAATAAGTGTTGATCTATTTCAGAAAGTTTCTCAACAAACAATGATTTTTAACACATCATATCTGTTAACTGATACAGTTCTTGTAATCTGTCTCGGACGTAATCCGCCCAACCGTTCTCCCACTTTCCTCCATCTCATCCCAATGGTGAAGGGAACTGCAGCTCATGAAAGTTTATACCTTTTAATGATAAATGTTGTTAATCTGAAAAGGTGCTACCAGATTTTCTGACGTTTGGCTAATGTGATTCTCTTCCTATAAGAGAACAATAGAAAATCCTAAAGTAAATTGCCATTCAGGAGCAAGACCCCTCCTAGACTACTTTTTCAGGACTGATGGAGATATTTAGTAGTTCATTAATTGGATTAATTGTGTGTATATGTTTACTTTGTCATGTTCTCATCATATGCCTAAACAAACAAATAATTGGATCTATTCCGCCTGTAGAGGCCAATTTAGGGACAGGATTGGGCAAAATAAACACATATGCAAAGGGTTCAAAGGAGGGGGCATGGTTTGATAGCCTGGATCCTGGTCTGGCCCATGAATGTTCAACCTATCCCTGCATGGAGCCAATTCTCTGTGTGGTTTCTTAAGGTGCTCTTCTTCTCCAGAGGTCGTCCTGCATGAGGCCTCACCTCTTTCCTCAAAGGAAAGGGAGCACTGAGGCTGCCGATGGCACCGGGAGTCCTGTCAAAGACAACCCCTTCTGAATGTGTGTTGTATTCCAGGCGCAGCAACAGCATCTCCAAGTCCCCCGGGCCCAGCTCCCCCAAGGAACCCCTCATCCTGAGCCGCGACATCAGCCGATCGGAATCCCTTCGCTCCTCCACCAGCGGTTCCCAGCAGATCTTCCGCCCCTGTGACCTGATCCACGGGGAGGTGCTGGGCAAAGGTTTCTTCGGCCAAGCAATCAAGGTGAGAGAGCCAGCATGCCTGCCCCCTTTCTCAACACCCAGGCTTCACGTGTTAATTTTCATCCCCCTCCCAGGCTTCATGTGTTAATTTCATCCCCCCCAAATCCTCAGGAGTCTTGGAGGTGACCCGTAAACTTGATGAATTGTAGAACTGAATACATAGAAAATTGCAAGTTCCACCCTTCTTCCTGTGCATCAGCAGAGCTCTGCCCCTGCATCTGGAGGGTAATACAGGTAGTCCTTGACCTATGACAGGGGTAGGCAACCTTGGCTCTTTTATGACTGGTGGACTTCAACTCCCAGAATTCCTGAGCCAGCCATGCTGAGGGGAAAGGGAGAGGTTTCCAAGCTGAGCCATGCTGGCTCAGGGATTCTGGGAGTTGAAGTCCACGAGTCATGAGGGGGCCAAAGTTTCCCCCATGCTGGCTGAGGAATTCTGGGAGTTGAAGTCCACGAGTCATAAAAGAGCCAAGGTTGCCTAGCCCTGGCCTATGACCATTTGTTTAATGATGATTCAAAGTTACAAAGTTCATTGGCCGTGAAAAGGGACCCGTCCTCAAAGTTACAGCCATTGTACGTACCGTTGCAATTCAGGCACTTGCGTTTTACTGGGGTTGTAGCATTGTGCAGTAACAGGACCACAATTTGCAACCTACCCAGCCAGTTTCCGACAAACAAATTCAATTGGGGGGGAGGGTAGTCAGATTTCTTTAACAACCATGCAATTCACTTAACATCCCAGTGATTTGCTTAATGACCATGATAAAAAAAAAATACCTGCAAAATTGGGTCTGGTCACTTGATGACTCGCTGAATGGCTGCATTGCTTAGCAACCAAAATTGCAGTTCCACTTGTCATAAGTCAAGGACTTCCTGTAGGTTGGGCGGCTTGTATGGTGGTTGAGGCAGGACCTTTTCAGTATGTGGCGGGAAGCCTACAAGGAGGCCTCTTGCCAGCTCCTCCTGGGGGTTCCAGCTTGGCTGCCTCAGGTTTGTGTGCGCCCCACTCCCGATTCCGTATGCTTGGAGGAAGGAGAAGAAGGAGGAGTTGCTCAAAAGGGCCTCCCTGCCCCACACGCTTTGCACCATCTTGCTGGCCATGGTTTGGGGCCCATTCCTGCTATTGACAGCTTCCCACCTCTCCAGATACAATGTTAGTCTTGACTGCTTGGCTTGAGGAGGGGGCTTGGCATCCACGGCTTGCTTCCCGTCCCACACTCAGAATTGGGCCTGTCAGGCCCAGGCAGGCAGGCTCTCCCCCCATTGCTGGCACCCCCCTGCCTTCCTTGGCTGAGCTTCACAAAGGAGGGAGTATGCCCAGCCTGACGTGCTGCAGAGAAAACCTGGAAGAGTTCCTGGGCTTGGTGGATATATCTTTTATTTATTTTTAAAATTTATACCCTCAAGGTAACTCTGGATGGGTGGAGGACATGGACCAGGAATGACCGCTATTGATTGGGGAAGGAATCAAATAGACTGTTAAAAAACCTATTTCTATAAAATTCAACAAATACATATAAGACAGTGATGGCGAACCTTTTAGAGACCGAGTGCCCAAAAATCGCCCCCCACCCCCGTCCCTGCTCCGCCCTGCCCACTGGGCCACCCATCACCTCCATGGCCCGCCACAGATCACCCAGGCAGCCCAGCAGCGCCATGGTGGCCACGCCCTCTGCCCATGCACCGCAGCATCAACTGCGCACGACGGGGTGCAAGGGCAGAGTCTTGTCCCCGCTGCCCAGCTACCATGTCCTTGGCTGCACTGCTTCATGTGGGCCACGCCCAGGGGCGACTCTCCTCCGGGGGGCTGCTGGTGAGGAGGGGGTGGTGGGAGGAGGCAGGGCTGGGGAGACGGTGCGTGTGCCCACAGAGAGGGCTCCGAGTGCCGCCTCTGGCACCTGTGCCATAGGTTCGCCACCACTGATATAAGAGTTAAAAAGGAAACAATTTATGAAACTATATTAATAATATTCCTCCCACACATCTCACATAAAATGATTAGGTTCCTCTGGGTAGAGTTAAGATATAAAAATCAGTCACTGTATTTGAGAAGCCTTTAATTTTAATTTGGCCAGAAGGTAGATGAAGAATGTGTGATACGCTTTGGTATCAGGATTCCGTCATAGATTTATTTTTCCAGTGTTTATCTAGGGACATTTGAGCAGCTATCAAGAAAAATGCCCTTATTTCTTTAAAGTAAATATTTGCATTAGAACCTAAAAATATATTCAGCAAAGCAAGTTGTGAACACGCATTAATTTTTTGACTCATAACTTTACCAATCTCCAAAAACACTTTTTGAAACTTGGCAACTTTAAGATGCATAGACTTCAACTCCCAGAATTCCCCAGCCAGCCTCCCATTCTGAAAGCTGAGGTCTGTACATTAAAATCGCTGAGACTGAGAAATAGTGCTCTAGAATGTTTCCATGATTCTAGAATTAAACTCTCACTTAAGTTTTAAAAGTAACTAATTTTGGAATTAGGATGTCTCCAAGTTTCCTATAAAGCCAGTCTATAAAACAATCTGGTCTATGGAATTTATGACTCTTCAGATTTGGGATTATTTGACTGAAAAGGTTTGTCTCTTCTTTTACGAAGGGGGAATTTAACTTTTCCCTATGATTGTCTTCAAATGGTACAATATTACACCTACTCAAATAATTACTAATTTCATTCAATCAATCAGAATAGAGCTGGAAGGGACCTTTGAGGTCTTCTAGTCCAGCCCCCTGCTCAAGCAGGAAACCCTATACCATTTCAGACAAGTGACTGTCCAGTCTCTTCTTAAAAGCCTCCAGTGTTGAAGCACCTACAACTTCTGGAGAGAAGCTGTTCCACTGGTTAATTGTCCTCACTGTTAGGAAGTTTCTCCTTAATTCCAGGTTGCTTCTCTCTTTGATCAGTTTCCAACTGTTGTTTCTTGTCTTGTCTTCTGGTGCTTTGGAAAACACGTTGACCCCCTCCTGTTTGTGGCAGCCTCTCAAATACTGGAATACTGCTATCATGTCCCGCTAGTTGTTCTTTTCTCTAGACTGGCCAAACCCAAATCCTACAACTGTTTTAGTCTCCAGGCCTTTAATCATCTTAGTTGCTCTTCTTTGTACTTTTTCCAAAGTCTCAACAGCTTTTTTGTAATGTGGTGAGCAACACTGGATGCAGTATTCCAGGTGTGGCCTTACTAAGGATTTATAAAGCAGTACTACTACTTCATGTGGTTTTGATTCTATGCCTCTATTTATACAACCAAGGACTGTATTAGCTTTTTTGGCTGCTGCCACACACTGCTGGCTCATGTTTAAGTGATTCTCCACTAGGACTCTCACAGTTACTGTTTTTGAGCCAGGTTTCACCCAATCTGTACTTGTACCTTTGGTTTTCCTGCCCAGGTGTAAAACCTTGCTTTTCTCCACATTAAATTTCATGTTGTTGGATATTTCTACTCTGTCTTTTACAGTTATGTTTTCGGTAGGTTGGGCTATGGTTTCTTTTTGTGTGAAGACTGCTGCAAAGAATGAGTTAAGCAGCTCTGCTTTCTCTCTACTGCCTGTTACTGAAACTTTTTTTTTATTATCTTCGACTTCTGTTGGAAGACTTTGTTCATTTTGAGCCTTTGCTTTCCTGATTTCATGTTTGCTATCCACTGATATTCTGCCTTAGTTATGTGTCCCTCTTTCTATTTTTTATACTTGTCCTTTTTGTCTTTCAGTTTATCAGAGAGATCTTTGTGCAACTATGCTAGTTTCTTCTTGGATTTCTTGTTTTTCTTTTTCAGTGGTATTGTGCTAGACTGGGCTTTTATGATCATATTTTTCAGACTTTCCCACGCTTCTTGAGTTGTTTTCCCCTTTATGATTTTCATCCATGGAATTTTTCTTAGGCTCTCTCTGAGTTTGTTAGAATCAGCTCTTTTAAAGGTTAAGACACTGTTGCTAGTGTTTGCATTATATTGAATTCCTATATGACGTGGTCACTATGGCCCAAAGTTCTGGCAACTTCAGCTCCCTCTATCATTTCTCTATTAGTAAGAATTAGGTCCAGTATAGCTTTTCCTCTAGTTCCCTCCTCCACCTTTTGGATGACAAAGTTGTCACTAAGTTGGTTAGGAATCTGTTCGATCTCCCACTTGCTGCAGAGTTTGTCTCCCAGTTGATATCAGGCTAGTTAGTCTTCCTTTACTACTGTGGTGTATTTCCTACATACATTTATTAGTTGGTTAGCAAAAAGTTTATCTATTTCTTCTGCTTGGTTGGGTGGCCTGTAGTATACACCTATAGTAATGTCATTTTCCCCCCTTTTATATTGACCCATATGGATTCTAGGAGATTTTCATCCTTGGTTTTGTGGATTTCTGTAGAGATGTAGTGATCTTTTATATATAATGCAACTCCACCTCCTCTTTTGTTAGGTCTGTTTCTTTTGAATAGTTTGTATCCTTCCATCAGTACATTCCAGTCACGACTTTCATCCCAACATGTTTCAGTAATGGCAACTATATCATATCTGCCTTCAGGTACTAATACTTCAAGTTCACCCTGTTTCTTTCTCTAAACTTTGAGCATTTGTGTATAGGCATTTGAGTCCTTTATGGATCTTGGGTATGTTTCTTATATCTCTCCTTTGTAACTGGGATTTCCTTATTCATGTGGTCTGTGATATAGACAGTTGAATTAAAATTAACAAAAGAATTAAAAGATTTGTTGCCTACTACTGCTAGCATCTCTCAACATTAAAAATTTTCTTTTGCTTTATTTGCCATTAATTTTGAGGTTTTGTTCCTCTGTTCATAAACATTCTGTTTAGAAAAACTAAACTGGGCACTCTTCTGACAATCCAGCGCTGTAAGTTACTTCCTTTTTTGAATAGGTTTTTAATATAACTTTTGAGCCTTTTGTTGGATCCCTCAAACCCCTTATCCTAGACGAGTAGGCCTTGGAAGGGACTATGGAGGTCCTCTAGTCCAACCCTCTGCCTAAGGCAGGAGCCTTATCATTCCAGACAA